AGTAGATCCTTATCCTCGATTTGTGGTTTACACAGACGAATGCATTACCGAAATTCTTAAAGCATATACAAGGTAATTTATTTTCATTGTCAAGTAATGACACTAGAATATGTTATTGGCAGGCAAATGCATCTAGAGTACACCTTGAATTGTAATAAGCGATTTGGAGGGGTCTATGGAACGAATTTAAGACATCAGTATTCCATCAGTATTCATCAGAACCTTTAAGACAACTAAATTGCAGGCGATAGATTGATAATTATTGCAGATTTTTCGGCACTGGAGTGATAATAAACCTTTCAAGAAGTCAGCGATCTTTGTTGCTAAATACTCATCGAGTATGCACACGCAAGGATCGTTACCACGAATACAGCATATTCTTTGAGTACGAAGTATAACTTATCGGGATAGCTAACTGTACCAAAACATAGAAGATTTATGGAAATCTTTAAAACTGACCAATGTGTGGGAAGCAAGGTGTTCAAGTACCACAGGACGTGCGTACTGCAAGGCCCTAAGGCTATTGTAGTATCGCACTTACAGAACTCCTTTTCCAAATCCTTTACATTCGCATAGAAACAGGGCTTGTGTCAAGAAACTCCACTAAGCCGTTTTAACATCCTGCACAGATCGAGACTGCTTCCGTTCCCAGGAACGTACTGGATATACACTCAGTCAGTGTGGAGTAGCTCCTGCTTGATACGAACCGAAGTGCAATCTTTCTCCTTATACGTTATCTCCCTAGTTCACCGCAGGGACTTCAAGTAAATGGAGGACAACCTATCGGCATCAATTTATACTACCTAAGAAAAGCACGGTTATACTCATAAAACATAATATAAAGATACTGCTGGAACTAATGTAAAATATTTTGTGTTTTTCATTAAACCGTACGATAATTAAACCGTTATTTATTTATGTCAAGAACAATGTATTTGACGTTGGTTGCTCATCTGAGTGCAAACCGTGCAACAAACAAGTCTATAATAAATACTTAAGCAAATATACTGCAAAACGCATCATCACATGTGCGATAATTACAGACATGAACAATTATTAAATGCAGTCAACTGTCACTTGGGTAACATCAGCATACATGGAAAAGGAAGAATTTTAATATACTAGAAAATCGATCCCTGATAACATGCCATTAAATATGTCACTTAAACGATGAGGATGGAGCAAAATATGTGAATAATATGTATTTGTACGACCATGATACAATAGACATTGATGACCAACCTTCTAAACCTGCAGCTATCGGAGTTCGTTTGATCACAACTGCCACGCAAATCCAACGGAAAAATCCTTGCAGTTTGGTAAGGAAATGTTTATTAAAATGTTTTTGACTATTAACCTAACAGGTACGTGATGTTTATGCAAACTAATCTACATAATTCTGCCTTTACAGCTTGTAGGACTTGTTCCTGAATTATGGCAAAATGGGGGATTCAAAAGCTGTATTTTAATGCCGCATATAGGATCGCGTTTCAATTGGCGCATTATCACATTTAAAATTACAGTTGAATCCTCAATAATTCTTGGCTTTCCAGAAAAGGCCAAACAGTTTCAACGGCTTGATTTTCTCAACCGTCATCTAAACCCGTTAGGAAAACATTGTAGTACAATAGTGGGACCCAGCTGGTGGTCACAAGAAGAATTAAAAGGTAGGTGCCAAATAGCACAGCTATAAAACAAAAGCTTTTAAAACTTTTGTATATTTTGCACGTTGGTATACATACAAAACTCTTTTCCTGAGTCCAGGTAGTCGAGTAACATTTACGAGTTTGTTTGGGCACACCGAACTGTTTGACGGTTTGCATATTGTTGAAGATTATTCTGTGGGATTTGTCCTTCAATTTCCGACATATAACTGTTTCAGATACAAATTATGATATCAGAATGTTTTTCAACATTGCTCGGTTGAAGGCGGGGCATTCAGTTTGCAGTGTAGTGAGTCTTAATACAAGTAGTTTTGCATGATAGAATACAATAGAAATAAAGTATTACATAATTATGCACCTTGTATCATGCAGTAAACTATGTCAAAGCGTACGTACCTATTCTTATAAAACGCAACTTAACTGTCTTAATGACATTCTGAATCGTTTGCTTGACTAAAAACTCGAACTTGCATTCGGTGCAGATCATTCCGAGTAAACTGCGTAGCTTGAATTACTATCTTGCAAAGCAGCGATATGTAAGGAACAATTTCCACCAGACTAGACATATCTTTTTATAGCATTAACTAGCTACTTTTACAAACTAACAGATTTCGATGAGCATATTTGCCATTATTTTGCTTCGCCAAGTATCGCGCGCTATGCATCAAGTAAAGTTTCTCATTGCAGACATCCTAGAGCCACACGTTTTCGGGTGGATGATATTGTAATGATCTTTAGAAAAAACTGGTTAAATTGTGTCAGAGGTAGCTCTGGATACCTGATTAGTAAGGTCTAATATTTTTCCGTCGAATATGGCAAATATTTTTCGCATGGTGCGCCAATCTGTGGAGGTATTTTTGGCCGATAGCAGATAGTTCTATACACTATTTTAAACAGCTCTTCTTTTGGTAACGTTATCAGAGCATCTTGCCTTATAAAGTATGCTCAAGGCATTCTGCCATTTATACACTAAGCAGCATAAGCCAGAGTAGTGTGCAATGATGCAAATTTCATAGTAAATAGAACCCGTACTTCATTAGGTAGAAGTTGCATAACAGACAAATAATTGCTGACCAACACCTGGATTCCTCAGTCGGTATTCGCACATTTGCATGCCATTTAAATAAACCGAAGTTCAACACTTACCTACACCAGTTTATTCGAAGTGTTATAGTAAAGACCCACTATTTCTACTAATCCATTGATGATGATCTGGGTCATCAACATCTCGACTTGACTACACCTTTACCCATAGCTAAGGGAGAGGACTAAAACTGCTACACTCGACGTCACCATACTAATCGAATGTCGGTCAGATGTGATCGGATTACCAGAAAGTCTATTTACTCATCCGGTAATGCTGAAGTTAAAGACACATGGACAGCACTTGCTGAAGTCAGAGAGTGTGTACAGAAGTATCAAAATTATCACCAGCAAGATAAACGGCGAATCTGAGAATTGTGTGACTGTTACGGAGGTGGTGGCCGGCGAATACAGCTTGTCAAGAGGTGAGCAGCATTGACAAGTAAAAAGTTACAAGAGGCTAAGCAGTTAAAAGACAAAAGCTACATAATAACAAAAATATCAAACGTTAACTTCAAAGCTTTTTTATGCTTTTAAGGTGGATATACCGTTATCTGTAAATTAATAGGTTGAAAACATCAATTCAATACTAACCAATATGAAAATGGCTACCGTACGAAACCGAATAAGTCACGTTTCTAAATTGATCAATGAAATGTTGATACTACAAACTAAATAACACTATCCGTCGACTTTTCAAAAACACATTCCTTTTGTATTATCTGCGGTGATGATCAACCTAAGATATCTAGTTTCAGCCAATGAACCAAGGAAAAATAGAAAGAATCTTTAGTGCTAATATTTAAATGGACTCTCTTACCGTAAACTACACTTACATAGTTGAATTTGTCAAGTAGTGGACTTCTCCAATCTCTTACGGTTTGAAACTATCTGTGAAGACTACTCCTGTTCTATGTTTACTCCAGATATCATAATGCAATTTAAAGTTAAATTGGCTTCCAACGATAGCTGTACACTGGTGAGTTTATTGACTGACTGTTATTGGTTCATAATCATTAGCCAGCTTCATAAATTAATTGTCAGGAAAATAAGAGTTTATGTAACAAGACAACATATTTAGAAATGATTGCGACTGCGGCAACTTGAATTATTTTAAATTGCTGCAGAACAGCCGCTGTGTATTCCGTAAAAGTCAGTTCCTTTCCATATCTTTACTATGCTGGATAACAGCAATGCACAAACCCGTAATTACAATAATGTGCTTTTAGCTGTTAAATACGTGGACGACCGCCTACATCATTGGTGGATTTATGAATTGCAAAGCATTTTCTATAAGTTCTACTTACGCTGATATGGGATTACACATGGTTATGCTGCGCACAGGTATCGCATTTAACGGAATACCACTCGTTTCGATAGGGGAAACGGAGCTTGCTCTGCGCACGGAAGTACTGTTTAATATGGACGCTGAAGGCTGCATCACCTACGAACCAAGCCAAGTGGCAACGCTGCTGCGCAAATGTAGGCTTGCCCTTTTAATGTTTTACAACGCGCAGTTGGTACATGCCTATTTTTGGTCAAATATTTGACGCAACTAGTTTGCCAACTGCGTAAGGATTAATAAAGTTTTTTAGCATACAAATAATACGCAGATATTTCTTACTTGAAGATACAGTTGGTTCACCAACTTCACAGGCGGTTCATCCACGTCAAATATTTCCATAAACGATAAACGTATGTCTACAGAACGATATATACAGGCTAGTTCTCTTGCCAGTGACCTGCTGTGAGAGGTATAAGTTTCTTATAGGCCAAAATAATCATTGAATTTGACGAATTTTATTCAGTATTGATGGTTTATGTTCCCAACTCAAGCTACAAGGAAACCGGTTGTTATTCGGGAGAATTTTGTTTGGTATCTTTGCTACGAAACTGTACCTTAGAAGCACAGATTCGCAACACTGCTGACAAGTTGATTGATTTACGCCAGTTCGGTCCTAGTTATTCGCATAACTTTGGCTTTATATATATAATGTGTGCATCAGGAGAAAACTACGGAACTCTTCGACATATCTACGGCTAGTTTTTTATACTAGTATTCGGCCCTTTTGCTTCACATTCAAATTTCTCGCGCACTAACATACTATGTCTTCAGCAAAATGCACTCATTGTACACTAAAATTATTGTAATAAAAGTAAAAGATAGCGTTTTAATTCTACTGGATCCGGGGTAGGGTTTCCGGTCGAACGGAAGCTTATGCTTCTCTGTAGGTGCTGTATCTGTCCCTGAATTTGATTACAGATGACACTTTAATGTTTCTGTTATGTAGCATAGCAGTTGCTGGTGACACTGTTCAGCGCTGTTCTGCGCGAAACAAAGCTGTTTCACCCAGTTTATCAGCGCAATTTTAATGCTCGCGTGAAGGATGTTATACATACGGTCGAACAGAATTGTCTTCACGCTCTGCAAATTGAACAACCTGATACTGGTCCCATATTCACTTTTGCATATTATCCTCTGCATGCCCACCCTGTTTGTAGGCTTTGTTTGTAAGATAATGGGCTCCACACACGAGTTCATTAGTAACGATATATGTAACTGGAATGCTCACTGTCACATCATGTGATGGTGCATGGAGAATGTTTGCAACTTCAAAACGCGAATGTACTCCTATCATCATCATCATCATCATTACACATTAGCTGGAGGTGGAAAACACCTCAGCCATTGTGCCGCAATACAAAAGGCAAGAAAAGAAAAAATCAAACAAACAGTGGCACGCCCGCTGAGTCCCCAGTAACAGATGGACATCGTTCCGGAGAGCTAACAGCTGGCTGCCGTAAAAGAAAGTCTCTTCATGTCTGTCGACCTGATGGGCCAGGTTTCACAGCCATATAGGAGAGTTGAAAGGACGGTTGCGTTGTAAACTCTGCCCTTGAGGGCGAGTTTATTGTCGTGTCTGCGCCACAGGTGGCGGAGATTAGCAGAAGCACCTCCAGCTTTTGCTATACGGTTAGAAACCTCATCTTCAATCCCACGGGTGTTAATATAGCTGCCCAGGTACTTAAATTCCTGAACGACTTCTAGCAGATCACCACCAAGCGTTAGCGCAGGGTTGGGTCCCTGCTAATCTTGGAGAAGTACTTTGAATTTCGATGGAGCAAAGCATAGCCCAAAACGATTGACAGCCAGTGCTAATCGGTTCAGTGCTGTTTGGCATGTTTGGGAGCCGTCACAGATTAGGGCAATATTGTCTGCATACTCCAAGTCAATAAATCGCTCACTAGGGAGTAGCTCCACACCTTCTAGGTCGTGTCCAGCGAACGCTGTTTCCATGACTTCATCAATAGCGAAGTAGAAGAGGAAAAGTGACAGCGGGCACGTATGTACTCCCATGTGAGAACAATCTATTCTTCCGACGAATCCAGCCTAAACATTGACAAATAACAAAGGTTGATTCTCACACTTTCCCACAATGCACCACTTAAGAAAGGTCCTTCGCTTCCAATGTGGAACTACTGAGTAATTGGCGTAAGGCAATCATGCAGCTCTAAACTTAGGTGGCACTAAAAGTGGATTAATGTAAATCACTGGGATTGTTTCGTGATAGAAATTTTTCTTCGCCTTTCAAAGGTAAAAATCTCACAAAATTCCGCATAATGTGGGAAGGAGTAAGCAATGTACACATTGGAGGGTCCACTTGAATGATACTTCGCAATAAGTGTCATGCAATTATGGGACATAATAATATTAGTGTGATGAATCTAAGCCTATTTTGCAACTTCATTTCGTACGTACCGCTTCGATCCATCAGCTGTAGGTGTCACTGAACAGAACCTCACATAATAGCAGCATTTCTCCCGGGGAAATCTTAGCATGTCAGCTATCTTAGTAAGAAATGATAGACGAATCAATAGCCTTTCTAAAGATAAGCTTTCAAATCTACTAAAATCTAAACATTAAATTGGCGGGCTGCAACAATTAAAAAGCGCAACATAGTAGTAGTGCCTGAATCTTTCTTAACATTGCTACGCTTCTTCGATCCTATCATGTTTTGGGCTAATAACTTTCCACCCATCCGGTTCATCCTGGGCTCGTCTAACTATATGAGCATAACGTTGTCCTTGCCGATAAGAATGTATTTGTGAGATGCAATTTTGCGGTCTCATTTGTATGGGTTTGATAATTGACTCAGTCCGGTCTCAACGTAGTCCTCCTTCCCAATGTGACAGTATTATTTACCCAAGACGTAATATTGCACTACACTAGCGATTTGCTTGACAATAGAAGAATGGGCAGTGACAATTCCGGCAGACTTTTGGGCGTAACAGTCAGTTAGTAGAGGAAATGCAATTGATGTATTTAGTGTAGTCTCTGTTACTATGCTCACGAATGGATGGAGTATTTGAGAGTGGATATTACACCCGTCAACACCACGATCCAACACGTTGGAAGACGCACCAAAACGCATACGTCTTAGTCGCGTCATCTGTGGCATGACTATTGTCCTTCGTCAGCAGGTCAACAATCTTCTCTTTCGAAGAGAACTTCGATTCGGAATTTTTATCATACATGGTATCAATTATGCATACTAAACTAATTCATGCGTAGCAACATTTTATGCCTCCGTAATTAAATCGCTGACGCATTGCAAAATTTTACTGCCCCCAACGTTAATCCGTATGTCACTTTATAAATCAATCTCTTCTTTGACTACATCATCGGAGATTGAAGACCTATTTTAGAATGAAACTTGATAAACTCTCACTAGGAATTAATGAACGTACCATTAATGCAGCCTTACCACCGTTCTGCAGAGGCCTACTCAAGTAATAAGATAGTAGTTACTCTTACCTATGGGAGCTTATAGTTTGGCAATAGCAGGTACATTTTATCCATCGGCTGTTCATAGTAGAGACTCTCTCAACCATGTACTATTTATGCGCAAGGTCTCAAAACCCGTGCAACTGCCCTGGTGACGTAGATGAAGATTGGAGGACAGGCCGGCACACTGGATTCCATGCGTGGCAAAAAAGAAAGATGAAAACGATAAAGTAAACATTTCCTTTGCTGTGATCTTGAACGACAAGCAAACTATCAAGGACCACAAGAAAGCGCTTGTGCATAACAGTCCCGCTGGATTTGATAGCTGAAGACTGTGAAATTTTGTAGTCGACCTGATGAGTTAACTGTGGTTACTTTAGACCCTTCCCACTAACAAACAAGTCAAGGGGGCAATTGATCTAATGTGCAGATCCGAACTCATTGCAAAACTTTTAGAAGACCGCGAAATACCTGAATACTCCAGCGCTTAAACACGGCCTTCTGTTAATCTGATAATCCATTCGACTCACGTACTGTTTCCTAAGATAGGGTACCGTCTAAAAGGAGAAGGGTCTGCGCCTTATGACTACAAGGTCCTTAACACCAGCGCAAGCGAAAGCGGACTGAGAACAATAACATGCGTTGCGGAATACACGACGGTATGTCTAGAACAGCTTGAAGCTAACACAGCATTCCATCTCCATTCTTTCTAAGAACGCTAAACATTTTGCAGAAAGACCAGAAACGCTTTAGTAATGCGAACGGATACGGAAACTAGCATAGCGGTTTGTCAGACCAACACCTTCTTTCGCAAAAGGGCAAGATATGCAGGAAACATAAGTTGAAGAAGGGTTTTATGCATCTTTATCTAGGACTTAATCGTTTGCTGGGCGGAGTCAAGACGATACTGCAATCTATTTGCTGACGCAAAATTCCCCACGAAATATTTTTACTTGAATTATTCAACTATGACGAATCCGAATTTTGGTCACCCGAAATATAGGCGCACGTGTTCACAATCTAGATAACGTCCTTGGGCGTTCAAGTGTATGGCTTATTTTTAATGCCGAGATGGAATCGATGCGAGGCAAAATGCATCATTTATAACTGTGCGAGCTATTGTTTGTATGTTAAAACCCTGGCTAAACTCTTAATTTATCGCTCCATTAATCATGTTGCCGCATCTATGACTTTAAGCTTTATAACTACAAAACACGCTAGCGTCCTTGAGCAATCGAGCGTCCGCCTTTTATCGCATATCGGGGTAAAGTCGGTATGCAGGTAACGGATGTGTATATTGTATTTAAAACCATAATATACGTGTAAAAACTTGCTTACCGTTTCTGGATTTATTGATTGACAGCCTTTTTGTTGTGCCAGCTGTTGCACGATACATATGTTTTGTGTTTGTAAAAGGCTGTTTTTGGCTAATTTAAATAAGTTCCATAGATTTCTTCAAAAAGTAATGCAGCTTTAACCGTTAGACAGATGCAATACTTAATAAGAAATATGCTCGGTAACCAATAGAGGATATTAATGGGAAGTGCAAAAATTTACTTGCTTTGTGTATGTTGCTTAAACGAATTGCTCCTGGGTGGCTTTTTGATTCGAAAATTAGGCGGTCATGGCCCGCAATTCAGACAGAATTCGGACCTTTATCGGTACTCGTGATATTAGTAGGGCACTGAAACGGGAATAATAGGGTAGGCTAATTAAAATTTATACACTTCAAATATGTGTAAGTGCCTGTAAATTGCCTTAGAAAACAACCTCCAACAAAGACACTACTAATGCGCTACAAAAAATTTAAACCTTTAATCCATTGAAGCAGTTGGCTACTAGTTTGCAGACATGCTGATATAAAACGCAAGAATACAAAACCAATCCTGTTAAAATTAATGTCCTAATTTACGGATAGTTTCGGCAATCGTTACTACATTTAATGTAACTAAATATCTAGGCGCATGAAGGAAGGATAACGTAAGATTTCTCGAGCACGGAATTGTATTCTCACGTTAAGTTGCCAGAGGCTCAATGAGGCAGGCAGAATAAAGATGAGCATATCGAATACCAGTCGAATTTACTAATTAGAAAAATAACCAACACAATACGTTCATCTCCTAAATGCACAAGTAATTACCAATAGATTTTGAAACATTTTGTTCTTGTCTGTTCTCATGTCTATTGTCTATTCCCTTGTCTATTCCCATACTAGCTAAGGAACGGTTGTGTGAGTTTTGACATTGTTGTTGCTCATTACCGAAATTGATAGAGTGGTTGTTTAATTATTTATAATGCTAGGAAAATTGCTTACGGGCTAATTACGTGTTGGTAACTTGTTCATAATTAAATCATAATTCTAAAACGGAGGCTCTCCATATTGTTACTTGAACCAAGAAAATCTTTTATATTCTTCATTTTGTTCAATACATCTTCCACGATAAAACAAGCACTTACGGCAAACGGTTAAACACAACTAATTGCAAAGCGGTGTACTATGATATTCACCATGAAATGTGGCTTAGCTGAAACATCTGAAGTGAAACTTTGTATGTCAGTCATTATAGGTGAATGTGAGTTGTGGTTTCGCTGCAAAATACTGTTTAACTTATATTGTTATACCACACTACTGCATCAACGAGTGTAAAAAACTTATTAGACACATAATGGTATATCCTCTAAATGGCTTAACAACTTAGAACAAATCAGTTTTGCGTGTGGGCCAACAGATCCAAATTCAATCCAAATGCATCAATTCGCTTTCACACAGGTTCTAAAAATTCCGACACGTGACATTTGGTTAACTAGTAGGTCCAATAGACAGTCGCGGTTCATGATTTTACAACAACCCACAAAATATAGCAACGGACCTTGCTGCGTAAATAATGTTTGATATTTCCTCATAGCTTCAAAAAATTATGCTTTTAACCGCATTTTAAAACTCTAACCATTTTAATAGCAAAGCTGTTTATAAAACAATGAAATTAACGTTATCGACCTTCGAAAGCATTTATGCGCACTAATCAAAGGTTTATTAACATGTCATGTTTTAGCCGCATTCATTTCTGGACCTACATCTATGGAGCTGTGTGAAGAAGTAAGCAAACCGTGCGTAACTCTCCTCTTCAGCGCCCTATATTCAAACCTACCACAGTGAAATGGAATCCTTTGTTTATAAGATGATATAAGTTGTTGTCCTCCAAGTAGTAGACTTAACAGACGCACTCATTTTTAAGTGAATTTCAGTTAAAACTAAAGCACATGCATGGGTACCGCCGTTAATCCGTTTCATAATTTTCTAAACTTTGGTTGAATATTATCTGATCGCATCAAACGACGTGCATTTATAACCGCATTCACCTAGTTGGGCTAAGTGCCAGTTAGCTATATCCAATTGATCCAAATATCTGTCCGTTTAGGTCGTGAGTACTCTGTATAACTGACAGATACGTAAACATATGTTAAAGGATATTACTGCCTAGCTTATGTGCACAACTCTGATTAAATTAGTTTTACCCATGCTGATTGCTCAAAAGTTTTGTCTTTCCACCTGAACTTTTGATCTTCAAGTTATGACAAAAGCCTTTTGTGCCCATTCTTTTACTTTCATATTAGCTACTGAAAAGAATGGGCGATAAATTCTTTGCAATCTATAAATCATGTTTACTGGAACAGAGAGGCATTTCGAAAGCACCTGAACAAAATATCGTGTTATACGGACTTGCAGCAAGGGAACCATTTCACGCCGTCGATGAGCCATTTTATAATAATTTTCATAGCCTTTTGGTGAATAACCTTAACGAGGCGCACTCCACTTGCCTGTACAATGGGTATATTATCACGCAACCGAGTAAGTTATTTTGCTTTTTATATATTTGACTTAAAAAAGGAGGATACGATAAGGCAAAATTTTATCTCAAGCGAAAATGCAGAGTAGTATAAAAGACTATCCTTCTTCATTGCCGCAACTTATTTTCAATTTCTCACTGTAACAATTAATGGACAATGTCGGAAACAGCACAATCATTTAAAACGGCGAAATAATTGATCAGGGAGATCTTTTTCCCTATGTTGCCACAATCAGAAAAGATTCTTCTCATTACCATTCAGCTGTCATTCAGCGCTGGGGCAGCAACTATTAAGTCGTAATTATTAAGGTTGTACTACGCATCTCTGTTTGTATTTTCAGTTGTTCATATTTATTTGTCATATATTTTGAACTGATAAAATCGATGTATGTTTATATCAAAAGCTAATATTGCTAATCGTGTTACCCTTGTTTTCACAGCTGAAATTACGTGAAGCGGGTAAACTAAAAGAATCGTGCCGACTGATATGTTTACATAAAAAGGGAGTTCGCTTTTACGGTGCACATGCATACAACTAATAAAAACGCTTTCATATAACGTCTGCTTTCTTCTTCAGAGCATGAAATGTCTTTAATATATTGCTTAGATTCTGTAAGTCGCAATCTGCATTAGGCGCCTAAATCTTGTTATAAATACTAGCGTCAACTAAAATAATATTCCTGGAAATAGCCGAATACTGCATTTGTTAAGCATGTATCAGGTTCATTAAGAGTACTTCACTACCGTAAGTAAAACACAATAGTAAAATATATTCATTAAGTTGACCGAAAGACACGGATTGTTTTTTGACTGTTCACTTAGTAGGCACGGGTGAATTGGTGTCCAATAGAATTCTTGTCAAAGCTTGTGCCTCTTGCGTTAGTCACTAGGACGAACGCAGATCAAGGGTTATGCGACTAACTCCACAAAGTTTGTCTATGGGTTTATAAATTATTTCCGAGTAAGAGTAAATCTAATCACAAGTACTTTATGTTGCCAAACTGTATGCTATGAGAGAATCTAATATGAATGTTTTTCTTGTCGCACTTCCAGTTAAGATATATTTTGCCCGGAGGGTACATGTAAGGGAGCAAAACAATTCACTCTGTTATACCTTAATGATTTCTGATTCTCGGCAAGGCTTACACCTACCGAGAGCGGTTCATTTCGGCAACACTTAGAGTGCTGTTTGTAAGGGAATAATTTGGCAAACTACTTAAGGCCCCTTCAATGTTCATTGGAATAGGAAGGAAAACAATAGATGCATGAACAGGGTCAGTTTTTATTAGTATATTTGGTTGTGGTTTAGTTTCTTAATGCGTTCATTGTTCTATTATGATCAGTAAATATAGCAGACGTATAAGGGTGCATAATCAACGGTTGAAATTACCCAACTTTCCCATAGCATCAAATGATTTTACGCCAACTATGAGTCCGTATGCCAGCTAGGGTGTGGATTAGGTAAGATGTTATTTACCGAACCGGGATTCCTTTGGAATCATGTTTGATTAACACACGTCAAACTAAATGGATCTGGTGTTAAATAAATAAATGAATGAACTTCATTCTCAAAGATGCCATGGACGCCCGTAATGGTATGACCAGGAAGGTGCATAATTGCTAACTCGTTGATGACAGGTAATTAAGAAAATTTAAAATTTAGCTTAGTTAAAAGCATTCGGAAGAACAGCAAAAGCATACTAAATGGTTGACTGGCAATGAATGTCGTTGATTGGACTTTAATCACCATTTCAGAAACTGTCATGGAGCTGCTGATGAGCTTGTTAGTGGACGCTGCTAAACTATGTACTTGGTCTTATGTCGCCTGGAAACTGCTCGTAAGCTTGGCTTATTGTTATGCAACAACCAGACAGTTTGTTGGCGTTCGTTACAGGCAGAATCTTGTTGATGATTTGCGAAATTTGTGGTCCCGCTTGCTGGTCAAAACCCAGACTGGTAGCTTGTTCTCGGGTCTGGCGTAATAGTTAAGGGGAAGGTTTTAAGTCCTGCTAGTCCTGCACATACACTACGTGCTTCAATTACTTTGTTGCAAAAGCTGATTGAGGTTGGAATAGTATATGTTTGTAAAATTAAAAAAGCTAAGTTTCCCTTCACGCGTCGTTACCAGAGAGGATCAGGCTGGTGCTTATCACATCGTTCAGCGCATCTTAGTTGTAAAGGAGTACGTAACGGACCTCATACGATTACCATATATAATTATTTAAATGCAGTGTTATCGTCAATATTTGAGTTGCGACTTGATATCAAAACAAGTTGCCGAAGTACAGCAATGCAGTAACATTTTTAGGCAGCTATTAGTCTAAACGCGTGGCAGGGTGAAAAACAAGGCACTCGTCCTGAAGTCCTTGGGTAGGTACCAAAAATAACGACGCATTTGTTGCGCATACCTCATTTGATGTTATTCTGCATTCATGCAGCGCAAATTATCCCTACAGCAGTGATGCAGCCGAAAAACCTATGCCTAAAATTTAAAACAAGTAACATGATTTGCGACCATTAGTCGAAAAGAAATGTTGTATTATTCATTCCCAATTACACAAGCTACAATTCCTTGACGATAACAAATTAGGTTCATGTAAATTACCGTGCATACAATCTTGATGGACGTGAGATTTTCAGCAAAATGCAGTGTTGCATAAGTAAGATATATCCATAAGTACTTACGAGGAAAACAGGTGGATACGTTTGACCAGATAGGAGTCAAATTTATCGAGGCGCGCCTTCCGAAGGAAATTTAATAAGGAAACAGAATGTGCACGACAAACTGTGGTAATGACTAAAGGAAAAATTTCAATACAGTTGTAAGTCCAACCAAAATTCATGATATTGTAAGTATTTTAATGCATTTTTTTGATGGTACTATGTTGTGTTATGTGTTATGTTCGCAGTTTAGCGAAGTTCGTAGAAGATTCTCGGTATTATCTATCTTAGAAAAACTTGGAACACATTGGGAAATCATGAGTTCACATCAATTGCACAATGGTTTTTGCATCTGTTAAGTGAGTTTTTCCTTTCCAGACAAAAAGCTCGCTAGCCTAAATTGCTTTGTTAATATCAAAAAGTAACTTAAAAATTTCCTTAACTGGCTGTTTGCACAGAAATATGAAAATCGCTAGATGACCTAGCTAAATATATGAATGTTCATTTGCTGGTTTGGAAGCTTCAAGTTTGGTGAACAATGGTCTATTATTACCGCGCGTTGTTCAGTGAAATCTTTAACATTCAACATTAACATTGGCTGACTTACTCACAGCCAGTACATGTACAACAGGACAACAGCTTGTTTATCTTATGGATTTCTTTGGTTACTTGCCTGGGTGGAATTTTATAACCCCTACTAATTGCGGACGGAGTGTACAGTAGGTAGTTTGCTATGCAGCGGAATCTTAATTCAGCGTCAGCTCTGCTGTCATTCTGACACAAAAAGACACGTATTTTACATGATAATCATTCTTCTGCCTGGTCATTTTTATGGGGCAATTCAAACAAGCTCAATATACGCTGGCATTTCCCTTCAAGAATTTCAATAAAGAAAGAAGAATAAACAGTTTAACAGAAATTACTGAATTCAGCAATTTCGTGTATTCTCATCAGCTGTTAACATACAGTTAGTGAAAAACAGTGCGCCTATGCAAAAAAGATATTCAGTTCCGGTTCAATGGAACCCTGTATCGACAAATCGACGGCGTGGATATAGGCAGCCCATTGGGCCCAGATTTGGCTGATATCTTCCTCGGCCAATTGAAAAACACTGGGTTAGCCTCTTATCTATAAAATATACACCTTTATTGCCGGTATGTAGACGACACATTCATCTTCGTTGACACAACTCAACAGGCGGCGCACTTATTGCAACTGATGAACATGTGCTATCCAGCCATCAAGTTCACAATGGAAAATGAGTCCGACGGATCTTTCCATTTCTTAGATGTGAACTTACAGAGAAAGCCAGATGGTACACTCGTCCGACCTGTGTACAGAAAAGCATAGACGGGACAATACTTGTACTTTAATAACTTTTGTACAATAAACTATAAACGAGCTTTGTTACGTGCCACTTTTGCTAGAGCTCGTCAAATTGTCTCATTAGACACAATCGAACGTGAACTAAAACGAGTCACCTTGATACTACAAGAGCATGATCTATAGCTCAACACGCAAAAATACGATCCGGAGATAAACCACCAACTGATATCCAGAAGGAAATATTATTCATTACAATGCCGTTTAAAGGAGAGCAAGTTGACCGAAGATGCTAGCATCGTCTCCGGCAATCAAGTAAGAAGTGTTACCATGCGGCTGAGCTAGTGGTATTGCATCAAGTCAGAAGGTTGCTCTGTAAATATAACTTGGACGGACCAGTCTCTCAAGTTACCGCCTCATGCATTTACCTCTTTAATGGTACTTGCGTTTGTAAGTATATAGGCCGAACTGAGAGAAGGCTGTCAGCGAGGATTGCAGAGCATGTTCCACGAAACATGGTCGCTAAGGGTCCGAACCTACCGAATAGTTCTATTGCGCGCCACATAATGACTGCCCTGAATGCCAAAACCCACGTGGCAATTTCAGTGTAGTTGGCAAACAACCTAATCCCCGCTTACTACAGTTTGCGGTGGCGGCAGCAATTCGGCGGTTGAAGCCAAATCTGTGCAAGCGGACGGATTTCGTGACCACGGTAGCCCCACTCTGGTGAGGCTAGTGATTGCGTTTTCCTCGGAACGGGTCACGTAAGCCGAAGGACCTTCGACCGCTTTGAATATTTTGCTGTTAACATCGCCCAGTTTTCCACTAACTGTATGTAAACAGCTGATGAGAATACGCGAAATTGCTGCATTCAGTGAATTCTATTAAAATGTTGTTGCTTCTTGCTTTATTGAAGCTCAACTTAAAGTCAATTATTGCTTAGACTTTTTATGAAACATACGGTTTCCTATTTGGTGATAAGCTATTACATAGTACTCCTTTACGTTATGCCGAGCAATACGGGTGCATAACTGAGGAACTTTACTGGATGTAGATTCTAACTAAAAGTTAGACCCATAAGCTGAATATGTTGTATGCTACGTTAGGCCGATATTTGGTTATATTGATGGTGTAAAGGAAAAGTTTAAATAAAAGATGCACATGGTATAAAATTTATGTGGTAATATAAATAGTTGGCACTTTCAAATCCCTTGTTGAATTTTAAGTGGATAACAATGAGTAATAAATCAATGTGGCGCCACGTTATAGGCGGTCTTCATGACGGACGATACGGCTATGTATGTGCGTTTGGTGTGCTCGTTTTCCCGTACATTTGCAGACATAGTGGAAAATGTAACAACCGTGTAAATTTCATCTGCAATGTCATTTTACAAGCGGCATGTGGTGACTATATCTGCCTTAAAATTGACTTAAAAGCGTATTCATTACAGGCACTGCGATAAAATTTACTCCGTCTTAGCAGTTATATGATCCCTGGCAGCATGACGAAGGTTTCTTTTGATATTCAATCAATAGCTCACAATCTCCCGACTCTGATGCAC